CCTTCACCTTGATCTCTGTCCCTCTCCTTCCCCTTTTCTCAAACACTCCTCTTTACTCTTACTCTCATTCTTTGTAACCCCTTGCGTGCTAGGGGCACTCCCGCCTTGCTTGGTGGGGTTGCTTAAAAAATAAATATATATATATATATATATATATATATATATATATATATATATATATATATATTGATGCATGTTTCATTAAATAATATAGACAAGTTTTGTCTATTTATTTTATGTAAATTCTTTACATATCGTCTGATAAGCTTAATAACATTATTATTAAAAGTTGAAATAAAATCACCATATTGATACATCTTTTTAAATCCTACCTAAGCTTTTGGCTTACATAAGCCATTATCAAAGATGGCAATTACATTACAATATATTAACCAATACACGGACAAAACAATTATGATTGTCCTTTTTTTGTTTGCATGAAAGATTTCCAAGTAACGAATAACTCGTGCATACGAGACGTCACACATGACCACGCGAGAGTGAAAACAAGAAGTATTAAGTATGGGAAACCGTTGGTATAAACCAATGGCTTCAGTTATCAATTATAGGCATTTAAGAATATTTGTGGAGATTTCGTAGTTTATTTTGTTCAGGGTAGGTTTCAACTGTTTTATGTATATAGCTTCAAGAATTTTAAGATTTTGTTTATTGTTTTCATGTTTAAGTATAGCTGTGTTTTCAACGAGGATTTTCCGGAATATTGAGTATGTTGTTTTAAATGCCTAATATATATATATATCAGAGTATCAGAGATAGAGCTAACATATTTGGTTGGATTGATGTGAATTTGTGACCCTGGGTTTCACGCTTTTGCGATTGTCTGACGATCGCAAAAGCGTGAAAACCCAGGGATTTTAGATCGCGACTGCTCATGAGTTTGTCATTCATATTTATTTCCTTATTTTTTCAATATGGCTGCTTAAGTTTATATATATATATATATATATATATATATATATATATATATATATATATATATATATGAGATGGGCTAATTGTCGGTGAAAAAAACACTTTCTTATTTCTGGTCGTCAGATCTGATCAGGTAATTTAATTTATTGTCCCACTTATCCTCAAAAGTTCCAAAACATTATTCCTTATACAGAGTTTTGCCTTTTATTCCCATCTGAAGAAGCCGAACCCAACACACGTCAAGTCGATGAATATATTAAAAGCTTTTCCACGTTGACTTATCGTGTCTACTTTTGTTTCGGATACTATTAACCTAAATATAAAAACACGTATATGTCAATAGACAAATATACATAATATTCGATAAGATATGATCCCTAAATTATCTTCAACACATTATATCTAATGTGTTCAAGGTAAAAATATATATTCGCGCGTCTGGGAAATACAGGAAGCTTCTGAGATGTTGAAATGGCAAATTGAATGGTCTGTTTTAATTTTATTTTCTTACTAGCCTAGAAGCCGCCATTCGATCGAACTTTAGGTTAGCACCAGCGGGGTGGGGGGTGGCATCTGCCCTTTACTCTCAGCGTCCTATGTACGCAAAAATTATAATAATTTCGAAATAATAAAATTATTTTATCTTTATTCGACAACCCAAGTCGGCATAATCTTTCTTCGTGTACACAATCGATCTGCGTAATTTGTTTACATTTATTTTGCGAGCAATTTTTATTTTCTTTTAAAACTATCATTCTTTATGATCCCTTCACATGAAGTCACTCTTAAAAGGCATTAGAAACCCGAACTATATAATATTTCGAACACGTCACAGTACGTGGGCTAGAAAAAGAAAAAAAAAAACATATGAGCAACGTACCGTGCCCCGCATAAATTTTAATTACGGTTTAATTAGACGATATCAATTGCAATTGTGACGAAAGGCGAAATTAAAGTTAAACCTTTAATAAAGAATTGTTTTTTAAGTATTTCACTATGTTCGATATTCAAATTTAATTTTAAATGAGTAATTTATTTAATTTTTAATCGTGTGTAACAAAGTAGTTATTACATGTTACTTCAGGTTGTTTATGATTCACCGAGATTGGAAAATGGACAGTCGGACGGACGGACATACGTACACTTCGCTTCATTTATATAGATTCATTTATTGCACATTAGAAACGAAAGGGAGAGAAAAACTGGGGTGGCAAAGCACGGCAGAAATTATCCGCGATGCTTTTTGTTTTTATAGCCAAATTCATCGAAAATGTATTTGCGTGAACTTGGTTAAAAGACACGATCACAAAAATTCATTACACAAAAATCGGGTGAACGAGCAAGCATATTCACGACTGAATAGTGAGTTCGATCCTCATCAGAAGCCCCATAATTTCGGCGTTGTGCCATATCTAAGATACGATTTGAAAATCGCCATACTAGTTTAAATCAAACACTAAATGTAATCTATGCTACTTGTGCAAAAGTCAGGGAACTTCTGTCGTAATATTAGTGTTATTATGGTATAGTCGTGAAAGCAACCCTAGTTTCGCCTAACACCTCAACTTGCTACAGAACCAAAACATTAACCTAAACACTCGTCATGTTCTTGTATAGCCTGGTCAGATCGAGATTTTCATATGGATGTCATGCATGGCGCCATACCCGTTCAAAAATGTCTAAACTGTTAGCTGTATAATTTTTTCATCATTTCACCTTAAGCAAGGCAATAAATCCACTAAGACTCAAAGGGTTATAGAATGTGAAAAAATATGAGAAAAGCATATTATTAAGAAAGGAGAACAATAAAAGAACAGGAATTAAGAAGGCAGAAGATTACGACTGACATTGCATTTAAATTTTTGATTAACTAAAAAGCAAGAAACAGAATGGAAGTTCTACAAGCAAGAAGTGTGCGAGAAGAAACATTTAACATAGAACTTACATCTAGCAATTCGAACGGTAAAATGATAAAACCTACCGGCGAATCTAGTACTGCTCTTAAATTCGTAAAGTATGCAACCGCTTTGGTAGATCAGTGGTTAAAAATGGTGTTGAACGAGTGAAGTGTGTAAGTCTCCAGGAAGACCATTCTTCTTCGAACATGGTATATATATATATATATATATATATATATATATATATATATATATATTAGGATTCCGACATATTTTTAAGTTTATTTGTTTAAATGTTGTTTTTTAATGGATACTCATATTTGAGTAGATGCTATGTTTTTATATATTTATTAAACGGTATATTTATTTATTTACATCTACCGGTCCGAATATTCGAGAAATCTTAGAGGGCGGCTATTTCTTCAATATTCAGGACAGTAATGCAAATAAATAAATATACTGTTATAGACAAATATAAACAGAGCAACAGATGAGAATCCATTAAAATAACGCTTAAACAAATATATATATATATATATATATATATATATATATATATATATATATATATATATATATATATATTATGTATATATAAATAAAAAAGAAAGAACAGTAAGATATATAATCTGGTGTTCTTATAGATATTTTTTATTTTACAAAATAGTGCTCAATGTAAATTTACAGAGCATTAATATTATAAATTAATTGATTTAAAATGTTTTTTCGCTACTCAGTTCTAACCATGTTTCAAAATTGTAATTAAATTAAAGACATTAGTTCCATTTCATCCTCAAGCGACTTATAATTTTACTTCGTTTCAGTGCATTTCAACTGCATCCGTCTCAAAGTTTGTTTTTTTTTTCCATTTTTGTTATTTCTTCTAATCTGTTTGCTCATATGAACATGTCGTTATAACGTGTGTACATGGTGGGGGCGTAGTTGGTCGAAGTGTCGAACCCATTGTTACGCCGTCAGTTTGTATATAAATGATGTCATTAGTCAGTCAGTTAAGTGCCATTACGTGATACACGCTTGGACGATCATGTCTTTTTCGATCCATGTCTGACTCGATAGAAAATTTTCCCGTATTATATTTTCATTTCTTTCTGTAGTAGACTTGTCAACTAAGACTACAGAACCCAGTCTGTACTGCTATTCAACCCATAGCTGGTCGGGAGAGCTGCATATTTTATGTGCATAATTACAAGGCTGCATCACCTAATAACTTGGCGCCAGACAATCTTCTTACTACCGCTTTTCACATAATTTGACTGGATTAATCTGAATTCAGATGCGCGGGTGGCGTAACTGTTATCGATGTTGAAAATAGAATCAGTTGGTCAAGTTCGATTTTCATCCGGAGCTGTTTAATATTTTCGTAAAAGGTGGAAATCGATCTTTTTCTCGATTCTCACCAGCTTTTGGTAAAATATTATGCTTACCGGTATAGTTCGCTGTCTTAGCTGGTCAAAGAGGAAGAAAAAACCTTTAAATGCAAAAACCCGCCGAGAAGACAACGATAAACGATTAGGACAGACTGGGCTCTAAAATGTAATGCTGGGAATAAATTTACCTTCAAAAAAAGTATTGCTCGTATTAAAACCTATTTTTTACACTTTCATAGCGTTTTAACCCCAGTTTGGAGGTTAACTATTTGCCCATAGCTGGGACACAAACAGATGCTACCACCCGGGTCAGTGTGCAACTGGGAGCACCAACAGTTAAGAGGGGATTTCACGCTGATCAAAACCTCCTGATCAGAGGTCTTGCTGTCGGATATAGTTTATCGTCATACCCAGGACGCGGATTTAGTTTATCGCCATACCCAAGACAAGGCATCTAGCGTATGCAGTGAAAAATTGTGAGCGATACTGAAAATTTGAGCCGGAATTGAAGTAAACGTATCTTGGAATTTGGGATGGAAGTAGACGTCCCGGGAATTCCAATTCTGCCACAACACCTTAAGATAGGTAGGGTCAGTGTAATATCGATATCAGCGTGACAATGGTCGCGGGGACTGGGCAACATTTTTTGTCCTCGTCCCATATGCAGACGTATGTGTGTAGTGCTCCCTACGTAAAAAAAGCTTGTATCACACCCTGCCTTAGTGGGGAGGCCGGGAAAATATATTTGATGATCTATTTATATATTGCCTTCACTATCGGTATGCTTGTAAAATCGCCGGCATGTGGCTATCAGCCCATCCCGTAGGTTTGTAAAATTTCGGGGTCAAAGATTATTGTTCCTAATTGTCATGCTAAATAAGGTAGACAATGCTACTTTGCTAAAAATACTGGTGCTTTCTCTTCAATCAGTATTAAGTCAACAAAAGATGGCTCCCGACAGATCCGAGGGGGTGAATAGGGATTTGTCTTTTCTTATTCCCATGTTGTCCTGCAACGAACCTTAACATTTCTTCCTTCTTTTCGGGTATAGACTTACTTAATGAAATAGCATTGTTGTTAATGTTTTACGCTTGGTGAAGCAGGTTTTGTTGAACGTGTGTCGGAATCAAATACATCTCTGTCGTTCGTTCTCGAACACGCACACACACAATGAAACATGTCTGTCTGCTGACCTTTAGATTGAGAAGCAGAAAGATGCTAATGTCCAATTCCAAGAAACTCAAAGTAAGTCCCTAATGCCGGAATTGGCCCAAAAGGGAAGTTCTGAAGAAACAGTACAATTTCCGGAACTGCACGCACGTATGTGTAAGTATACCATATTGAATTCAGTCTTGGATAGTATTTCATCCTCAGGGAAGGTGGATAAATACCTACCTATCAAGACTATACTATATATATATATATATATATATATATATATATATATATATATATATATATATATATAACCCTTTTTCACTCTTCCGTTCGTTCTTTCTTTCTTTGATTCTGTCTGTCAGCTTTGCTAGTCTCCTTTTTTCTTTCTTACATCCTTTTTTCTTTCCTTATTTATGTCTTTCTGGCCTTCATTCTTTCTTTCTTTCTTTCTTTCTTTCTTTCTTTCTGGCCTTCTCTCTCTCTTTCTCTCTCTCTCTCTCTCTCTCTCTCTATTTCTTCATTCATTCATTCTTTCTGACTTTCTGGCCGTCTCTCTCTCTCTCTTCTCTCTCTTTCTCTCTCTTTCTCTCTTTCTATTTCTTTTATTTTTTTCTTTCCGTCCGACTGTCTTCGTCATCTTTTTCTTTCTTTGTTTCTTTTTCTATGTCTATCTGACAGTCTATCAGCCTTTATAGTCGTCTTTTTTTTAGTTTTTCCTTTCTTTATTTACGTCTTTCTCACCTTCTTTCTTTATTTCCATATAACTGGCTTCCCCTCTTCCTCTCTTTCTTATTTATTTTTTTATTGTCCATCTGTCTGTTTTTCTACTTTTTTGCTTTCCGTCTTAGGTATGGCGATAAACTACATCCGCGTCCAGGGTAAGACGATAAACTACGTCCAGCAACAAGACCTCTGATCAGGAGGTTTTGAGAAGCGTGGAACCACATCTTAATTGCTGGTGTTCCCATGTCGAACCTAACCCGGGGTGGTTAGGGTCCCAGCTATGGGCAAATAGTTAACCCCCAAACTGAAGTAAAAAGCCTTATGAAAGTGTAAAAACAGATTTTAATACACGAAATACTTTGTAAAAAATTATTACCAGAAATAAATTTTTGAAGGAAAAACTATTACCAGCAATATATTTTTGAAAAAAAAATTACCAGCAATACGTTTTTGAAAAAAATATTACAATCAATACATTTTTATAAATAATATTACTAGCTATACATTTTTAACATTACCAGAAATAGATTTTTGACAAAACAAAATATTACCAGGAAAAAAAAGTTGTCGGCATTAAATAACACATTGTGGTTAATATGCCTTAAACCAAACCAAACCAAACCAAACCTTTTGACTTTTTTTTTTTTTTTTTTTTGTCCGTCTTTCTGGTATTTTGTCGTTCTGGTCTTCTGTCTTTTTCTTTCCTCATATATATATATATATATATATATATATATATATATATATATATATATATATATATATATATATATATATATATATATATATATATATATATATATATACAGACACACACACAGACACACACACAGACACACGCACATATATATATGTGTGTGTGTATGTGTGTGTGTGTGTGTGTGTGTGTGTGTGTGTGTGTGTGTGTGTGTGTGTGTGTGTGTGTGTGTAAAATATATAGAAAATAGGAAAGAACTCGTTAGGTAAATAATCCAAAGCATGAGAACCTTATGTAGCGATGAATCATATTTTAAATAAATAAATATATATATATATATATATATATATATATATATATACCAACTAATAATTCATCTGAAAGGACCAGAATCAATCTAACTATGTCAACTTACGTCATCGTCCTGGCGGCAATAACTGTGTTGTTTGTAACAAGGTTACAAACAACACACGTTCATCGTCAGAATTTAAAAGGCATAATGGTTGTACACAGGAGAGTTGTAGGGCACGCCAATCCAATCTATCCAATCAAAGATACAGAGTTTATCTCTCATATGTGCCTGATACCCTATGTAATGAAATACTGGTCTCCACATCCCTCTTAAAGGCCATGGAATGCCGAAACGAGATGGAAGCCGTCACAAATGATGTGAAGAGGGTGGGGTATGTCACATCTGAGGTAAGATGTGGAAAACACCATATATATATATATATATATATTTATATATATATATATATATATATATATATATATATATAAACATTCCACAATAGATTTAATAAATTCATAAAAACCCACATATATAAAACTCTGCTTGTACATGTAAATTTTGAATGCGTATTACACTTTTCACAAGTTATTTTCATTATCCTTCCGGTGTCGGATTTGACAGAAACCACAAAAAAAAAAAAAAAAAAAAAAACTGCTGGACAATATCAAGTTTTTGATAGTTTATAAGTAAAACGCAATATATATTAAATATTAACGTCATTTTTTACAGAACTTACAAGGTAAAATAAAACTTAGGCGTAGGAATATTTTATATTTTCTTTTTTTTTAAATAAAACTCTTAAAAATATAAAAATTTGAATATAGTCGTCATTATTATAGTGAATAATAATAATAATAATAATAATAATAATAATAACAACAACAACTTGTTATTTAGTAACCGTAAATGCACGATTTCGAGCCCTTTTCCTAATAAGCGACCTCTTTTCTCCAAGGAATTTAAAATAAGCACCCCCTATCGAATAAACACCGCAAGTGGCACTAAACGAATATATCTGTGAAACGAAAGGGGGCATTTGTAATGATTCTGGAAGTTTAAAGACAAGTAGTTATATTAATCAAAAGTGCTCTGGGCGCCAAATCGAGCATTTACGGAATCTGGGATGAAACAGCGCCATAATCGGATGTGCAGGTGGTGAAATGGGCCGAGATGAGAAATTGGAATGCCTGGTTCGAATTCCAGTCGAGTTCACTTACGCGCGTTAGAAAGGTATGAATTTATCGCCGGGATGTGTTTAGAAAAATCATTGCTATTATAAACAATTATTCATATAATACCACCACCACCCTCAAAAAATATTTTTTACATTCCACAACATGTTTCGGTTTTAAAACAAGACAAAAAGTTAATAAGCCATAATAACAAATCAATCTTAAGACATGAATGAAATATAGAGTTAATTTCTTTTATATATCGTCTTCTCAGAGCATGGTTGATCATGACTCTTCCCAACTTCCTATTTGCTATTGCTCTGAGTAACACTTATCGTTTTGGCACAACATTTAATCTTTGTGGTCCTTCTTTTGTCATTCATGTTAAGTTGATTATTCGCTTCTTTTTTTCCCAATTATCTTGCATTCGTCGTGTTCTTGTGGGTATTAAATTCTTCAAGCCTCCTTTCCTCATTATGTCCAGCTTTGTCCTTTTGGTTGTTAGCAGTCGTTTTCCCTCTTGTCTTTTTGTAATGATGAAAAATCTCTTCATAGATGAAAAAGAGACTTGAGGCAACAGGTTCTACCGAAGGATGATGAGAATACCACGGACTGATCATGTGAGCAATGGCGAACTTCTTGGAAAAAAGGAAACAAAAAGGACACTTATACTTGCAATCAGAAGGAGATAGCTGATATTCCTAGGGATTGTTACGAGGAAAGAAGGCTTCGTGAATTTGACACCCGCATGATATGGTGAAGGCAAGAATGACAGGAGGAAGAAGCGAATAACCTGCATAACGAAATTCTGTAAATCGTTGGCAGCACTCTTTCGTCGTTATGTTTCTTCTAATCCCTTAGATACTCACAGAAGGCAACAGGAACAGAGGACAGCAACGAATACCCCACCTAACCACACAGCTTGTGTAAATGGATGACAGAACAGGAAATAAGACTGATATTGATTGATTGATTCGTTTTTTACGACTTATCAACCCTTAGCAACCCTTTATTTAAAGACAACAATATTTTTTGTTTGTAAGAATTTTTTTAGTAGGGGGGTGAAGATATTAATGATTTACTGATACAAGTCTTAAGAATGAACGTCTGCCTTTGCTAGCAGAGCCCAAAGGAGAGGATAAACCAATACAGTTTTGGTACCAGCGCGGGTGCAGGAGTTGCCGGAAGGTAGCATAAATTGCCGTCCTTATCCTTAGGGGCTCCACTCCGGGTTTGAATTCAGTTGTCATTCTAGACCAGTTGCCATCCAAGGCTATAGAACCCAGTCTGTCCTGATATTTACCCATAGCTGGAGGGAGAAGGGGATTCACACCTTTCCCAAGGGTATTAGCAGTGAATGTAATGGATTCGACTGGAATTGGAACTCGATTCCTCAATCCAAGCCGCTATCCATTACTCCACCGTGCCTCCTCTATAAGTGGTGGGGGAGAAAGAGGTGTAGTCATACCTATTGCAATTGCAAGTCAAAATAAATACAAACTCAACTGGAATTGAAATTATCCATTACACAATCAAAACATACAAGGTTAAACACACGGTATTCCCAAGCGGTCACCTATATAGTCACTGACCAGGCTCAATATTGCTTAACTTTGGGAACCGTTATTTCAACGTGGTGGCCGTAAGCTAGGAGTTGTTAGCAAAAATACAAAACATACTAAATTACTTAGCTACAAAAGAGAAAATGTGGAGCGAAATGATCGCCAAGTCCTGAATAGGTAAGTAGAGGAATAGATTAAGATGTATGCTCACAAATACACAATAGATTAATAAGTACGTATTCTCGCGAATAAACATGTCCATTATTTTAATAAAAAAGGAGAAAAATCATTGTTTATTTATCACAATTCCATTTCATTTTTATTTGCTTTATATTTTGTGTATTTCCATAAAAATAATTTAGGTCTATGGTATTCAAATAAATATAAAGTTTCTATTAACATTATTTAAAAATAAGTGAGGCCGATGGGCGTTGAGATAGAAATGCATTCCAATGCCCGCCTTTCTCCACCCCGATTACTCTTCCCTTGCTCCCCGCCAAACCATCTCTCGCCTTTCCTTGATATGTTTTCTTTCTTTTTTTCTTTTTTCTTCACAAATTGCCCTTTCCTTTTCAAATCTCCATGAAAATATAAACATTTATTCAAGGGCCTCAGCTGTTATTTTTTATTCCGTCGAGCTATAGCTTGGACATTGATGAGTTTATGATGCCAACCATCACGGTCCTGCATGAAGATCGAAAAGTCATTAGAGTGGCATCCTATGTCATTAAATAGTTGGTCAATATAGATGATTACGCCATGGCTAGGTGTCCAGAGTAGTAGATCACTTGCAAGTTCTTGATTTGCTCACTAACAGTGTCCTGAAAAGCGCATCCTGAGTTTATGTAAAATTGTAGAAATATCGGTGATGAGTCCATAGAGCTATGATTTAGTTGGATGTTGGGTATAAGAGATGTTAAGTATCCGAGTGTAGGTTCTATCAGGTTAGAAACTAAGGTTTTAGTTAATGTCCAAGCAATGACGTCATACATTAAAATCAAATCTACAGTTGCGCGAAAGGAGCTCCGTTTCAGGTTGACCGATAGATCAGATTTCTAGATTGCATTCATTTTATTCAGATTTCCAGATTACATCCATCTTCTTTCAGATTTCCAGATTACATCCATCTTCTTTCAGATTTCCAGATTACATCCATTTTTTTTTTTCAGATTTCCAGATTACATCCATTTTTTCAAGCCATTGTGGAAACGTCTAAACAGCTGAAGTCAACTTTTAAAATGCTGCTCTTTTTCAGAAATTAAGTCTAATAAACAATTTATCTTACGGTAAATCTTTTAAAGAAAAAATAAATTGTAAGGCGATGATAAGACGAGTCCCACAAGTTTTTCATAGCAATGTCATTCTTCATTGAGCACACTGTTCATGTATTCTTCTGTCAGAC